TTTTTTTTTTTTTTTTTGCAGTACAAGAATCTGCACTGAAAATGAGGACAGACACCAAACTGGCCTTGGCCATATTCCTCGTATCCTGTTCATCAGGTGGGTAGACATTTCTGCATTATATCTAGTCTGATTTTAAATGTATTGCAGCCTGTGGGCAAGCACGCACACGTTTGACCCCAGCATTGGCCATGCATGGATTGTGAGTAACTCGGATTAATGTAAAGCTTTCGCCAGTGACACAAGGAGTGTGTGTTGACCCGCGTTACATGTTACAGAAGTGTTACTGAGGTTCGTCTGGTGTTGCACTGAAGGGTTCTGCTCAGAACTGAGGTCCAGTATGATTGTGCAGAACAAAGACGAAGCTCTCAGTATATGCTAGAGTCAGAGTTTCCATACCGTACAGTTTGTCTGATTACTCACTAAGGATTTTTATATATTCAGTAGGAATTTGAGCAAGATTTGAGAATGTTCTGAAGAAGTTTTATTTCGAGCTATTGCATCACTTAGTAGAATGAATATTCATTCGGATTCTGACAGCATCTATACTGCTTATCCAAATGTTTGTTGTTGTTTTTGCAAGTTTGTTTTATACTCATAACTCTGCTTTTATTTGACCAAAAATACTGTAAAAACAGTAATATTGTGAAATATTATTATAATTTTAAAGCAGCTGTTTTCTATGTGAATATCTGTTAAAATATAATTTATTTGTGTGATCAAAGCTGTATTTTCAGCATCATTACTCCAGTCTTCAGTGTCACATGATCTTCAGAAATCATTCTAATATGCTGATTTGCTGCTCGAGAAACATTTCTGATTATTATCAATGTTGAAAACAGTTGTGCTGCACAATATTTTTGTGGAAACCGTGATGCATTTTATTTTTCAGGATTCACAGATGAATAGAAAGTTCAAAAGAACAGCATTTATTTGAAATAGAAATCGTTTGTAACATTATAAATGTGTTTACTGGCACTTATGATCAATTTGATGTTTCCAATCCATAATGAATAAAAGTATTAATTAAAAATAATAATAATTGGCCATCAAACGTTTAAACAGTAGTGATTGCCTTGTGCATGCTCATGTATTAATTAATTAGTCCTAAAGGATAGGAAGAATCTGTATGGCATTGACATTTGACATCTGATGGATTCATACATTGATTCTTTAATTATTTAACAATAATCCATTATTTTGTTAATCATTTAATTTCTAATAATCTACTCAAATCCATTCTGCAAGATGTCTTCACTCTTCAAGATTCTGATGATAGATAATGATTATCTCAAGATAATGAATTTGCTTAAAAATGCAATGAATGTGTGTTATTAGCATGGAAAAGTTCTTTATCTTGAAATTCATTAATTTCTCCTAATAATGCATCGTGATTTTGTGTCTGTTGGAATCTTGAACAAAGTGGGAGGAGCTTTTCTTGTGATCAGCTCATCCACATCTAAAACACCTCAGAAGAAACTCTGCAGAGGTTTAGTGTTTGCTGTTGTGTTTGTAGAGACTGATAGATGGATAAAGAGTCCATGAGAATAACACGGTTTGGTGCAGATGAGTTGTAGGGTCACGGATGAGGGCAGTAACGTGGTCTCATCGCTCTGGCTTTGGTCAGATGTTGTTCAGATTAGCTACTAGCCTGGTCTTTTTAAAGATGTCCGAACGCGTCACTGCTCAAGATTACAGAATAACACTAATGCCATTAAAGACCAGTATGCTTTGTCTGTCTGACGTGCTGCAAGAGTTTCACCAGTGTGTGGTTTACTTTGGTGTATAACTTGAGAGATTTCCTTTTATCTTCTTTAAGGTGAAGTGTGTATTTTTTTTCAATATGAACAGTCAGTGGTCAGCTGATATGTGTTTAGCCGAAACTGATAGAGATATTACGGTATACATTTGTAAATGGTCTATCATTAGTACAATTGACATCACAGTCATTATAATTAATTCATTGGTAGATTGCCTTTCTCACACTTTACTCAGTTTGTTTTAAGCAGCCTGACACGGGGAAACCCGTTTGAAAACAGTCATTTGGTGACTCTCATGACATGCAGAAGTTATCAGAAGCATCAGAAGTGACAGGTGAAGGTGTTTACTAAACTCCAGCTCTCTCTCTGTCTCTCTCTCTCTCTTCATCTCTCTCTCTCTCTCTCTCTCTCTCTCTCTCTCCTCGCTGAACCAGTCCTGAAGTAGGCCAAAGGTCTGCAGCAGTTCCTCATCCTCTTTAACATAAGCCTGTAGGGCTCACGCAGACTTATGCCAAGGTTACAGCCGCGAGCAGATCCCTGCTCCAGCAAACCTCACACCGGCTCTAAGAGCAGGTCACCGCTGATCAAAGTCGTTCTCCAGCACCAAAAAAAATAAAAAATTGATATATAGTTTATATATATTTTGTTATAAATTGTATATATATCTAGATAGATAGATAGATGTATACATCTGTTAAGCCTAGTCTTAAAATGTTAAAACATTAAGCCTATTTTAGAACCAGGTTTTTTAATTGTGACTGAATTTCTTTCTTTCTTTCTTTCTTTCTATCTTTCTTTCTTTTAAATAATAAACATTTTGTTTTATTTTTGAATGTAAATGTCATTACTGTAGAGTAAAATTCTATATTTCAATCAGCATAAGCTAAAGGCAATTAAATTAATAGTAATAATAGATAATAGTTGTAAATAATACATCATCACATTACATTATATATATATATATATATGTGTGTATATATATATTCACATATTTATAGAAACTTATTTGGTTTTCTTGTCAAAATTTTAAGTGATATATTTTATGTAATTATCATTACTGTAATGCTGTACAAAATGTTATATTTATTAGTACAATCAGCCTAAAGACAATTTAAATAATTTTATATTTAACAACTTAATATTTATAACCAAACTAATGTATTATAATATTTTAAATATTAAGCCAGTATGTAGAACCAATATCTTTTGCATTGTGACATTATTTCATTAATGAAAATTTTTCTAGAATTTTTTTTAGGATTATTTATCTGTTTTTGCTTTTTAATGTAATTCTAATTACTGTAATACTGTACAAAATGCTATTGTTTATTATTACAATCAGCATAAATTAAATGCAGTTCAAATGATATTTTTTCACATTGCAGTAATGAGGATTTGGGAGTAAATGTGCTTGAAATTCACCCACGTCGCAGTCATGCAGTGATGTTGTTTAACAGATTGTGGATGAGGAGGAACAACAGTATCTTTTGTATCCTCTGTCTGAGTGAATGTGAGTTGTTTCTGTGAGTGTAGAGGCTCATCTGCAGCTCCAGATGGGCAGCTGTCTCTCCGCCGATGGCCCAGCATGTGGGTGGTGTTGGTGGTTGTGTTTCAGACAGATGTGCCTCTCTGGCTCCAGTGTGTCCGGAGCGGGAAGGCCAAACTCTGGGAACGTTCCTCTGGCAGACAGAGGAGTTATAGACTTGATGAATCTGCAGAGAAACTGGAGAAGACAGACAGACCGAGAGAGAGAGATTCAGAAGCTCACAAGCATGTGTTGTGTGTTTAGAGAGAAACTGTGAAGTGTTTGAACGGACTGAAACCCAGAGCAAAGAGTCAAATATGATGCTTATCAGGGAGTCGTGCTGGTTTGTGGATGTAAATATGTGGCCAATAAACCAGAAGTCTTAAAAGTGTCACATTCTAAGTTCACTTATAATATCAGTCAAGGATTCTTGCACTAAAGAGAGCGTAAATTCATTTCTCATGGTCTTTTTCCATCCTGACCCTTACAATAGAGCTGTTCAGTCATGATGACGTCAATTTGTCAGCAAACCCAGAAGACTAATTCAGCACGGCTTCCATCAGGAATTTCCTCTGGGTCTGTAGAATAGCAGACTCCTATTTTTCAATGAGTAAAATAAAGTCTATGGTTAACATTACCACCATAAACATTTTTGTTCTACAGTAAAACTACACACATTTATACCTCAAATGTAAAATATGAAACCACTGTGTGCTTTAAAAATTAAAGTTTCTACACAAGCACAACACCAGTTGTCTGATTTGTAAAGTACTCAAACTCACATCTTAGTTAATACTAGTTATAGTCCTTGTTGGCAGCTTTCATTTTCTAAAGCAGTCAGTAATTTCAAAATTCATATTTAAGGTATAGTAATTTGTTGCAGAATAAAATGTGAGTTTCTTTAAGTAACCACAGACCTTATTTTACTCAGAAATCAAAAACCATAGTAGTGTTATTTTAGTATCAGTCATATACTATTATAGTTTTTAGTAACATTTTGAATCAGATTTTCCATTTTCCATTTTTGTTTTAATTTTAGTTAAAAGTTTAGTAATTTTGATGTATTAAGCGATATATATATATATATTTTTTATATAGTTTATGATAATTTTTTATTACAGTTTTAGTTATTCCTGTACAAGTTAAATTAAGTTAAAATGAGAAGTGTTGCCATGGTAACTAGTTGAAATAAAAAGTTTTGTATATTTAAAATTATTCCAGTTTTGTTGTATATTTTATGTTATTAAGTGGTTATTTTTTATTTCAAGTAGGGTATTTTTATTTTTTTTTTACATGGTTTTAATTTTAGTTTCCGTTTTATTTAACTATAATAAACCTAAAAAAAAAAAAGTAAAAAAAATGTCTTGGATTTATGGCTACAAACTGAACCGCTCTGTTAAACAGGCTGTTTACTGTTCCTTTAAGACTTCTGCTATAATTGGCTAACCTCATTGAATATGTATGTATGATATGTAAATGTGGACAGTCATATGTTAATGAGCTTGTGATTGTGACACCATAACCATGAATGAGTTTCAGTAATGGTCTTGGAGGACTGGAAGCAAGTTGTTAAAGTTATTAGGGATGCACCGATACGATACTGCGCTCCTGTACTGATATTCATACTCGTAAAAATGCTCCGATACCACACAGCGTATGAAGAGAGCTGTGTCCACACAAAGAAACACTGACAACAGAACAAACAGAGCAGAATGAAGTTATTAGAGATTAAGGATGTCTATGAAATACATGTATGTAATTAATATAATGTTAAAACGTTCAATATTCACAGCTGTATCTATAGATGATCTGATAAGCAAAGCACGCAGGAAGGAGAGAGAGATCGAGATAGCTCTAATGCGCTATTAAATTAAAAATGAAATACCATAGCAATAAAATGAACAGTGAAAATATAACAAAAGCTTGTACAATACATTTGAACAGGTATAATTAAGTTAATCGTTTCTCAAAAATCTTTTCACATCTCCTGAACTTCTATTTCAAAAGAGCAATGAAAATCCTCTTCTTTATTCTACAAAAACATGTTTTCATATTGCCAGCAGATGTGAGACTGTCTGTTAAACAAATGCACTCACAAAATCTAGAAATAACCTCAAAAGGAGCACGCACCTTTACTTTTGGTCAGTGTCTGGCACTGCATGTCTTGGAAAGTCTCCTGCTCTAGTTTTGTGAGCTAATCTAGTTTATGCTTTTAACATGGCATTGTGAGCTATTATTGACTTGTATGACAAATTTCTTTTGATGTTATTCATTTGTAAGTTGCTTTGGATAAAGGCGTCTGCTAAATGTTAGGACAGTGTTTCCCAAATGGGTCCTTCAGGGTGTTTGTGAGATTGTGAGAGAAATGCCATTGCTGACAAAAATGTATGGATTTGGCTGATAATTTCATCCATAGTTATATTGCATTGTAAGCTATATATTTTTATAAGTTTATGCATTCTGTTGAAATTGAAGCCATACCCCTGATCTTGTTTTGACATGACTTTTTACATGACTGGCAGGCTTTGGCCAAGCAAAACAAAGCTCATAAAATATGATGTTGCCCAGAATTATTATCTCTAATCAGGGTAATTTTATGAAATGGCCCTGTTCCCAATTTTATTGTGTAAAAGTAAAATAAAATAAAAAATTAAGTGCAGCAAATAAATCTTTGTTTTGCTACACCCCTGATAGAAAGTATTTATTTATTTTAAAAAAAACTCTAAAGCTGTGATCTTGTGATTATATTCAGACCAACAGGACTCTTGCTTCAATGATATTGCTTAACTGTATTTTGAAAGCGTATCAATATTTAAAATGTTAGGGGTTATTTGAGTCATTTCGATTAAAGGAGTTCAGCTGATGCTTTTATCTCAGCATTACACACTTACAATACAATTTTGCATGATTTTAGTTTGTTTGATTGTGGAGGCGCATCATTAGATCTGCTCTCTGTAGATGAAGTGTTGCTTTCTGCTGTTTTGCTCTCATTTGTATCCTCAGTTATTCCCGGGTTGTGAATCCGAGTGGGTTTTAGTGCTGATTGTACAGTACGCTCAGCGTCCGAGGGAGCACATTGATGTTGTGTATTGGATTTGGCTCTCTGTGAGGTTCCTGCAGTAGTTCTTGTAAATTTGAGTGGCTCCTCCTGATTTACAGGTCTGTTCCAGCAGGCCCGGTGTCCGGCGTCATTAGCTCATTACTGAGAGTTCAGAGCGGATCACGCCGGGGCGCTTCACTGTCCTTACCAAACTAAAGGAGCTGCTGGTATCGCCGCACAATGGCTGACACTAATGTAGACAAACAACATTCAAACTACAAATGTACTAATACTAATAATAACCACTTTTAAAATGCAAACCAAAAAGAAATGTTTTAAAATGTTTATGAAGAAATTTTGTATCTTTTTAAAACTGATTCTATTTTTTTATATTTTAATTTTAATTTATTTTGTAAAAAAAAAAACATTAATTTTTAATAAAAAAAAAAGATTATGAAGCAATTTTATATCTCTTTAAAATGTATTCTTTTTTATATTTTAATTTAATTGTAATTTATTTTGTAAAAATGTTTTAATTTTTAATTTTAAAAAATTATTATGAAGAAATTTTGTATCTTTAAAAATTATTTTAACTTTTTATATTTTAATTAAATTCTTTTTGTATTTATTTTTCGTACATATTTTTATTTATTCAATTCAGGCAATATTTACATAAATTATTCACAATTTTATTTTAATTTTTTAATTAAAAATGTATATTATGTATATAAATATAGCATATCTCATCAGGTCCAGGTGTGTTTCCACCTGCGTCTGTAGCTCCTGTTACGTGTGTTTCTGCTGCTGACGGTGTTTGATTGATTGCTGTTGGCAGCTTATGGCTCAAGAAATGCATTGTGGGTAAATTTGAGCAGATTAGGTGGTAAAAAAGGTCTTGCCACAGTATGAAATTGTAATAATATTTCACAATTTTGCTGTTTTTACTGTAATTTTGATTAAATAAATTCAGCCTTGGTGAGCAGAAGAGACATTTAAACTGTAGTGTTATAACATCATCAAAGTTTTTAGCTCTTAAAGCAATAAATCACCCAAATTTTAGAAAGTATTATCAGTGAATAACAACTTAAATTTCAGTCTGTTCCTCACAGTTATAATATCATCTCAGAAGACTTGCAATATTATTATAAAATACAAAATATTAGACATGCATGAATTATGCTGCCTTTAAAGACACCTCGACTTAAGCAGCATAGCGTGTATCCTTCATAAAGAAGGCAATCCCAGAATGCATTGTGATAAACACAATGAAAACTCATTTTAAAAAAGGACAACTTGACCCACTATTTGTGTCTTATGTGTTTTTATGATTTTTATAGTATTGTGTTATTAGAGTTTAGCAATGTGCCAACATCCAACTATTGAAATCAGATTTGAGAAACGCTATTCAACATGCTCAGCTCTTCACTTAAACACTCGACAAGCTCTAAAATGATAACATGAATCATATTCTACACTTTTGTAGCGTTGTTTATACCTAAAGGTCCACTTATAATATTGCACATAGTTTAATGCATTAAAAATCATAAAGTAGTTTTTAATTAACATGACTGACTTTTACAATTCAAAAGCTTCATGCACTGAACAAAAACTGGAGTAGAAACAGTTTTCACTCAGAAATTGCTAGTAAATTTCACAAATAAGAAACGGCAAGTAACACATTGAACTAAATGTGAAATTTTAAAGTAGAAAGACTGTAAAATGCACTGCAATAATCTGTTTTATTTACAACTTTGAAAACTTATTTGACTGTGTACTGTACCTTTACGGTTTTATATGCGATGAGGTAATAAACAACCTCTGTTATTATGCTGATCAAATGAAAGAAATGGACAGCATCTGAAGTCTCTTTCTGTGTGGTTCAGGTGCGATTCTCGGGCGCTCGGAGACGCAGGAGTGTGCGTTTTACAATGCAAGCTGGGAGAAGGACGGGACGAACCAGAGCGGAGTCGAATCATGTCACGGAGAGAAAGACAAGCGACGACACTGTTTCTCCACCTGGAAGAACCGCTCAGGAGCCATCGAGATGGTGAAGCAGGGCTGCTGGCTGGACGATGTTAACTGCTACGACAGGTACGAGCAGATGCATGCTCGGATGCAGCGTGTGTGTTTGCGTGATGTGTGTGTTTTGTAGTGAACCGAGGATGACAGGTGTTGTCTGTGTGTGTGTGTGTGTGTGTGTGTGCAGCAGCGAGTGTGTGGAGCGTAAGGAGAATCCCAGAGAGAGAGAGAGAGAGTGTGTGTGTATGCGTGTGTAAGAGAGAGAGAGAGAGAGTGTGTGTGTGTGTGTGTGTGTGGGTTTGATTATTATTTTGTAAATACTCTGTTTAATATGCAGAGACAGCTATAAGGTACTGTGCTTGTGTGGTAAAACATGATGTAATGTTCATGTTCAGATTTCAAAAAGAAGCCATCAAAGGGATTGATAAAAGCTTTGCACTGACTTCAGTGAAATATGTCAGACTGATGATTTTATCTTAATTGAGGTGATTAAGAGAAGATATAGGACTCTTAATGAGAAGGCAGACACATGTCGAGACATCAGAAGGTTCCTCAGGCACAAACACACCATTCAGAAACTCACACGTGACTCCAGAAGAACGAAAGTGACATTTAGGTGCAGAAATATTTCCACCGGCTGAAAACTGAACTAGCTCGATAACATCGTGAGAGAGATCAGTGCCTGTTGGCCTTTTTAATCCTGTGATTTATGAAAGTAAGTCGACTATTACTCTGAAAGCTCATAATTATTTCATAACCACGCGTCTCTGCCCTGCAGCCCAATGAAGGCTTTTCATGTTTGTGTCTCAGCTACGCTTGCGTGGAATTCGGTGAATGTTCAGTGGGCTGAAGTGAATGGAAATCTGTTCAGCGTGTTGAATTATTGAGAGAGGTCAAAGACGTCTGTCAGCAGAAATGTCCGATTGCTCCACGTCTCGCCTTTCTAGCATTCCTTCCCTTCAGTGAGCTGTTGTGGATGAAATACAAGCCCTTTCCCTGACAAACACACAAACACACAAACTCACACACTCAAGGAGCCATCGAGATGGTGAAGCAGGGCTGCTGGCTGGACGATGTTAACTGCTACGACAGGTACGAGCAGATGCATGCTCGGATGACTCTGTTTTGTAGTGAACCGACGATGACACTGTGTATCTGTGTGTGTGTGCAGCAGCGAGTGTGTGGAGCGTAAGGAGAATCCCGACGTCTTCTTCTGCTGCTGCGAGGGAAACATGTGCAACGAGAAGTTTCACTACAGTCCAGAGATGATTCAGAGTGAGTAACACACACTTCACACCTCTCAGACACAAACATGTGACCGAGTGAAGATATCTGGACTGTCTGTGCACTTCAAGACTAATAATCAGACTGATTTCACAGCTGTGTCTCACAGTTGGGACACTACAAGAGTGTTGAACAGAAACTGACCAGATACAGGATCTAAATTATACACTTTCCTGAATATATTCATGTAGATTTAAACCTAAAATCCTTTGATTATAGAGTTACGTCTGAAATAATCACTCTATGTTACTTTGAATCACAAAGTCGCACACATTTAATTTCTCTGACGTCTGTCTGTGTTTTCCATGATGATGTATTATTGTAGTTTCTACTATTTCAGATTAACCTGCCTCTGAATGTCATAACAGTAAACACACTGTGATTCAATGCATTATTATGTCAATCGAATAGACTCTTCTTCCTTTAATGAGCAGTTTTTGATCAAATTAAGGTCCAGTTGATCAGGGATCAGTAAGATCTCTTCTGCTCACCGAGGCTGCATTCATTTGATCAAAAATACAGTAAAAACGGTAATATTGTGAAATATTATTTCAATTTAAAATAACAGTTTTCTATGTGAATATCTGTTAATATAAAATGTATTTCTGTGATCAAAGTTGTATTTTCAGCATCATTACTCCAGTCTTCAGTGTCACATGATCTTCAGAAATCATTCTAATTGCTGCACAATATTGTTGTGGAAACTGTGATGCATTTTATTTTTCAGGATTCACAGATGAATAGAAAGTTCAAAAGGAATAGAAATCCTTTGTTGCATTATAAATGTCTTTACTGTCACTTTTGGTCAATTTAATGCATCCTTGCTCAATAAAAGTATTAATTTCTTTCAAAACACTAAAAATCTTATCAACCCGAATGGTTTTAGTTAATTACTCCTCATTCTCTCTCTCTCCAGCCACGTCTAACCCCGTCCCTCCGAAGCCGGACTTGTTTCCCACGTTGCTGTACTCTCTGATTCCCGTCATGGCTGTCGCCGTTATTCTCGTCATCTCGTTCTGGATGTACCGGCGTCTGAAGCTGTCGTCCCCGCCGCTGCTCGTGCCGTCACAGGTACTGTACCTCCATCTCAATATCATCTTTATACTCAAGCGTAATATCTGGAGATGTTTTTTGGTGAATGGCAGCGATCGGGACTCTTTCACATAACAGTGCAGTTATTAATGTGTATCCATTCATAATAACCACACTAAACTATTCTACCATTGGGGAGCAAATGTTTCACTGCAAAAAGTGATTTTCTTACTCAATACTTTTGTGTTGTTTTCCAGTGCAATTTAAACAAGACAAATATCTGCTAATGAGGTCAGAAAAAAACTTAAAGCAAAATAGAGTGTTTAATTTTCTGACCCCATTGGCAGATTTTTTTCCCCCTTATTTTATGCATAAACTCACTTAATTTAAATTTTGTCTTAATATCTTGTGTAATTTTGCATCCCAAGTCAGTGTTATTTAAATATCATTGAAATGCTATTATCAGTTTTGTTAATATTTTAAAATTTGTATATTTTCTGTTTCATTTTAATGTTAAAGTTTTAGTAATTTTGTTTTGCATTTTTTGTCATTTTTGTTATTTTTTTAGTATGTTCGTACTAGTTCTTATTAAAGCCTTTACCCTTAACCCTTTAATTCTTAGGATGGAACGTACCATCAGTGTGTGTGTGTGTGTGTGTGTGTGTGTGTGTGTGTGTGTGCGTGCGTGTGCGCGTGTGTGTGTGCGTGCGAGTGAGCGTGTGTGTGTGTGTGTGTGTGCGTTGATTTATTTTCCTTTAATTGGGGGACAAAATAGTCCTCAGAAGTTCTAATTACATATATATAAAAACAATAGTAGTCTATGATGTCGTTTATTTAGATAGCTAAGTGTGTGTGTGTGTGTGAGCGTGTGTTGATTTATTTTCCTTTAATTAGGGGACAAAATGTGTGTGCGCGTGTGTGTGTGTGCGTGTGTGCGTGTGTATGTGTGTGTGT